GCTGCCTCCTCAAAGTAGAAACTAAACCAAACCAAACTCAGTACCATCAAGTCAATCCCGACTCATAGCAACTACTCCTTGGGTTTCTGTGGCGATATCTTTATGGAAGTAGATTGCCCAGTCTTCCTTCTGAGAAGTGGTTGGTGGGTTTGAACCACCAGCCTTCTGTTTAGCAGTCACATGCCTCAGGCACTACGCCACCAGAGTTCCCCCCTTAAAGGCAATTTAAAGACATGGAGGGTGGAGGGCTTTTGGGACCTTCATTTGTTGATATGGCAAGACTGAAAATGAGAAGAAACAGCTGCAAACATTAACAATTGGAATATGGAATGTATGAAGTATAAATCTAAGAAAATTGAAAGTTGTTGAAAATGAAATGGAATGCATAAAGATGAAAATCCTAGGAACTAGCTGAAATGGACCGGTATTGGCCATTTTGAATCACACAGTCATATGGTCTACTATGCTGGGAATGACAAATTGAAGAGGAATGGCAGCACATTCACCGTCAAAAAGAACATTTCAAGATCTGTGCCACAGTACAATGCTGTGAGTGACAGGATAATATCCATACACTTATAAGGAAGACCAGTTATTTTTACTATTATTCCTATTTATACATTAATCACTAAAGCCAAAGATGGAGATTTTTTACCAACTCTTGCAGTCTTAATCAAACATGCAATCAAGATGCATTTATAGTTACAGATGATTAGAATAAGAAAGATGGAAACAAAGGAGAAAGATCAGTAGTTAGAAAATATGACCTTGGTGATAGAAAAAACACCAGAGAGCATATGAAAGAATTTTACAAGATCAATGATTTATTCATTATAAACACCTTTTTCAACAATGTCCCTTTTTCAACAACAACTATACATTATGTACATTGCCAGATGCAATACACAGGAATCAAACTCACATCTGTAGAAACAGATGATGGAGAAGCTAAGTGTCATCAGTCAGAACAAGACCAGGGACTGACTGAGAAACAGACCACCAACTACTCATACCAAGTTCAAGGTGAAGCTGAAGAAAATTAAAACAATCCATGACATCCAAAATGCAACCTTGAGTATATTCTACCTGCATTTAGAGACCATTTCAGGAACAGCTTTGATGTGCTTAACACTAATGACTGAACACTAGATAAGTTGCAGGTTGGTATCAAGGATATCATATATGAAGCAAGCAAAAGAGCATTAAAAGAAAAAGAGACCACACAGGTATAAGAAGAGGCTGTGAAACTTGTTCTTGAATGTAGTATAGCTAAAGTGAATGGATGAAATGATAAAGTAAAAGAGCTGAATAGAAGATTTCAAAGTGCACCTCAAGAGGACAAAGTAAAACATTATAATAAAATATGCAAAGAGCTGGAATTAGAAAACCAAAAGGAAAGAACACACTTCGGATTTCACAAGCTCAAAGAACTGAAAAAAAAATTCAAGCCTCAAGCAGCAACATTATAGGACTCTACAACAACAGCAACAGCATAGGCAAAATATTGAATGACGTAGGGAGCATCAAAAGAAAATGGAAGGAATAAGAGAGTCACTGTACCAAAAAGAATTGGTCAATGTTCATCCATTTAAGGAGAGAGCATATGATCAAGAACCAATGGTATTGAAGGAAGAAGTTCAAGGTGAACTGAAGGCACTGGTGAAAAACAAGTCTCCAAGTATTGGAGGAATACCTATTGGGATGATTCAACAAATATATGCAACACTGGAAATGCTCACTTGTCTATGCCAAGAAATTTGAAGACAGCTATCTGGCCAACTGACTGATCCATATTTGTGCCCATTCCAAAAAAAGATGATACAATATAATGCTGAAATTATCGAACAGTATCATTAATACCACATGCAAGATAATTTTGCTGAAGATAATTTAAAAAGGGTTGCAGCAGGACAAAGACAGGGAACTATTAGAAATTCAAGCCAGATTCCTCAAATGATGTAGAATAAGGGATATTATTGTTGTCAGATAGATCTTGGTTGAAAGCAGAGAGTATCAGAAAGATGTTTAGCTGTGTTTTATTGACTATGCAAATGCACTTGATTATGTGGCTCATAATAAACTATGGATAACACTGTGAAGAACGGGAATTCCAGAACATTTAATTGTTCTCATGAGGAACCTGTACATAGACCAAGAGACAGCTATTTAAAGAAAACAAGGGGATATTGAGTGATTTGAAATTGGAAAATGTGGGGAAGGGTTGTATCCTTTCACTAATTCAATTTGTATGCTGAGCAAATAATCTGAGAAGCCGTATAATATGAAAAATGCAGCATCGGAATTAGGGGGGGAAGACTAATTAACAACCTGTGCTATGCAGATTACACAACCTGCTTGCTGAAAGCGCAGAAGATATGAAGTACTTACTATGAATATCAAAGACTACAGCCTTCAGTATAGATTACATCTCAACATAAACAAAAATCGTTAAAGTGGACCAATAAGCAACAGTATGATAAACAGAGAAAAGACTGAAGTTGTACTTGGATATACAAGCAATGCCATGGAAGCAGCAGTCAAGAATTCAAATGATGTACTGCATTGGGCAAACCTGCTGCAAAATACCTCTTTAACGTGTTAAAGCACAACGACGTCACTTTGAAGACTAAAGTGCACCTTACCCAAACCCTGGTATTTTCAATGGATTCATATGCATGTGAAAGCTGGACAATGAGTAAGGAAGACTGAAGAATGGATGTCTTTAAATTGTGGTGTTGGTGAAGAATACTGTGTGTACCATAGACTGCCAGAAGAATGGACAAATCTGTCTTGGAAGAAGTACTGCTGGAATTCTTAGAAACAAGAATGGAGAGACTTTGTCTCTTGTACTTTGGTCATTCTATCATGAAGAACCAGTCCCTTAAACAGGATATTATGGTCAGTAAAATAGAGGGTCAGTAAAAAAGAGGAAGACTGTCAACAGGATGAAATGACACAGTGGTTTCAACAACAGGCTAAAGCACAGCAATGACTGTGAAGATGGGATGTGACTGGGCAGCCTTCCATTCTATTGTCCACAGGGCTGCTATGAGGTGGAACCGTCTGTATGACACTTAACAACAGTTAACTTTCTGAAATGGCTGAATGCTGATCAATACTTTTTGGTACAGTGACTCTGTGTATTTCTTTCATTTTCTTTTGCTATTTCCTGCACTGTTCAATATTTTGCCCATGGAATAAGTCAATATTGCAATTCAAGGCTTAAACTTTTTCTTCAGTTCTTTCAGCTTAAGAAATGCTGAGTGTGTCCTTTCCATCTGCTTTTCTAACTCCAGGGACTTGTTACTGTGTCCAGAATGCTGCGATGGCTCTCCATTTTACTCAACATAAAAACTAAAGTCTATACAATGGCCTAGAAGTCCTTATTATCTTCCTCCCCATGTCCCCTTTAGCCCTTTGACTTTTCACCTCCTAATCTTCATTCTGTTGTAGACACAATGGCCTCCTTGCTGTTCACTGAACATGACTGTCATCCAACCACCCCAAGGGCTTTGCACTAGCTATTCTCTTTGTTTGGAACACTCCTGCCCCAGAGAGCCACATTACTACCTCCTCCATTTTCTGCAATTCCTGGTTCAAATATCACTTTCTCAATGCAGCACTCCAATATCCCACTTTGCTCTACTTGCACCACACTTACAACCTTCTAACATATGTGTAATATGCTCTGTAATATACTGTAATAACTTATACTTCCTGTTTATTTAAATGTTTTTCTCCTTTTACTTGTATGTATCCTCCATCAAGGCAAGGATCTTTGTTTTGTTCACCAATGCACTGCCTGGAGCAGTGTGGCATATGTTAAGTATATGTTATTTAGTGAATGAAAATCTCTGTGGGTGTATATATTTGGCTTCCTCTCATGACAATGGATAAACCTTTTTTTTTGTTGAGAATATACATAGTGAAACATACGACAATTCAACCACTTCTACATATACAATTCAGTGACATCAATTACATTCTTTGAATTGTGCAATCATCCTCACCCTCCTTTTAGGTTGTTCTACATCCATTAACATAAATTCACTGCCCCTTAAGGTTCCTATCTAATTTTACAAGTAGATGTTGTCACTTTGATTCCACATAGATAGATCTTAAGATATAATGCTCAAGGAAGGCATTTTTCACTAGGTAAGCTGAATTACTGTTTGCTTTTAAGAAGACTTCACGGGATATTTTTGGTTTAAGTTTTAAAGACTATCCCAGCCTTCTTGGCTCCAATGTATGAGCACTTGCAATTCTGTTGAGCATTTAAAATTCTGTTCTGCATTATACTCCTTTTGATCAGAATTCTCTGATAGAGCCTTTGATCACAATGTTGAGTTAACAGTAATGGGCACCATCTAGTTCTTTTGGTCTCATGGCAAAGGAAGCAATTGTTCATGGAGGCATCAAGGCACACATTCACAGATGAACTCTTATTGCTTCTATAGATGAATAACTTGTAAATTGACTTTCAGCCTCTTTAACCTCAATGATTTTGTCCCTGCCATTGTTCCTTTTCTCTTGCGTCATTTTGTTACCTTTCTACTGAATCTTTAAAACCAGCATATACATAACTTTAAAAATTTTCTCTTCATTCAATATATTTCAACTGCTATTACCCCATTTCTATTTTTTTTACAGTAAAACTAGGACATTACCCATATTTACTGTTTCTACTCTAAATATGCTCATTCTCTAATTTAGCCTCTCACTACCTTACTGAGGATAAATCCAAAGGCCTGATGGCTCAGTCCAGCCTGGCTCCCACTGCACCTCTAGCCTCCTCTCCCACCGCTCTCTACTCACTCACTCAGGTCCCATCATGCTGGCTTCTGGCTGTTATGACTATAGTTCCCACACTAGGAATGATTCCAAATGCTACATTATCAATACTTTATCTAGTTAAAATTATTCATTTCTGCATAATGAGTAAATCTCATTGAAGGGATTGCTTTCCTGAGGCACTTCATTTACACAGCCTATTTTCTTACCTTAACTGGAGAGCGGGTCATCATCTCGCCAGAGCCTCGAGGGAATATTCGTGCCTGGGCAATCATTTCCAATACGCTAGTTTTTCCAGCACTCTGATCTCCAACCACAACAACCTTACCAAAAAAATAACATTCATTTGAATTTTTCAGACATAGAACTATATTTAAATAAATGTGGGTGCTACTCTGATATTTTACTTTTTCGAAACCAAACTCACTGCCGTTGAGTCAGATCTGACTCATAGCAACCCCTCCTTGGATTTCCAAGGCAGTATCATTATGGAAGTAGATTACTCATTCCTCTTTCTGAGGAGTGGCTGGTGGGTTTGAACCATCAGCCTTCTGGTTAGCAATCATATGCCTTAGGCACTATGCCACCAGAGCTCCCATTTTAGTCTTTTAAAGTATCTACAATTAAAGAAATGATTTTTAAAATATTATCAGTGAAAATATGATGGTTGATATGCATACTGAGACTATAAGCAGCACTGTATTATCTGGATCCATTATTTATAGCAAAAATTATTTAAATAACTTGTGTAATTTAAATCACAATTTCTAAAATCAGATTACTAATTTTCTACAAATCTTTTCAGTAGCTAATTTTTGGCTAACAAAATGTACATATAATTCTATGAGGCTAACTTTCACTCATGTCTAATTTAATCTGCTATTCAGGTATTTTTGGGAGCTCTGGTAGCATAGTGGCTAAGACACTTGCCTGCTAACCAGACAGCTGGCGGTTCAAACCCACCAGCCACTCCTCGGAAGGAAGGTTGGGCAATCCTACTTTCCGTATCCGTAGTGATACTGCCTCGGAAACCCAAGGAGGGGTCGCTATGAGTCGGGTTTGACTCGACGGCACATAACAACAACCACATCATGCAGGTATTTTAACATTATGAATATTTTAGATATATAATGCTAAATATTTGATAGCCTTCCTTCATAGCAGAAAAATATAAGGAAAGTAATGTACCAAAAAGAAGAGCTAGAGTTAAGCATTCAGTGTCTAAGACATCAATGACAACACATGAATAAAACTGTGTAGATTCCACACATATAATTGTATTTATATTTGAAAAATTAAAGCATATTTTCTGCTTACAGGCAAGTTTACTGTCTATTAATTTCTCACTTACTCGTGGCAGATGATCTTGTGTATTATAACTGGCATCATAATCAGACAGAACATCAAGAACTTCAGAATACATATCAATCAAAGATTTCTGTAAAATTTAAAAAAGAAAAACATATATAATACATTAAAAATATTACCACAAATGTGTCAAGAAAAAAGCTGATAAATTCAAAGTTTTCTATATCACTGTAGGTTTTTTTAATTATGTAAATATTCATAGTGAAAACTAAAATATTATAAAATAAAATTCCATTACTTCTTATCTAATTTACCTATAATTATTTAGAGATACTCTAATTTAATAAAGGACATTAATTCAGGATTTCCTGACCTTTTAATTAAATAGTAAACAGTTATTAGTTAATACTGAAGAGCAAATATTAAATGCCTAATAGAAGACCATTAACACCATAAAAGCCAAATAAGGGGCACGGTAGCCAATTGACCAGGAAATCATCCCCTCCTCATTTAGGTGTAATAGTGAGAGTGAAAGGAGCTCTGGTGGTGTAGTGCCTAACTAATTTGATTGCTAACCAGAGGTATGGCAGTTCAAACCCACCAGCGAGAGAGCGAGAGAGTGAGAGAGCGAGAGAGCAAGAGAGTGCCTGAAGAGAGGATAAAAGTAAAGAAAGTATATCCTGACAAGTAGGCAGGCTAAAACCTGAGCCCAAAGGGCAAATTTGCTCTGTTTCTTCTCTCTGTGTTAACCGTGACTGCAGACAGTACCTTGCAAAAACAAGCTTCATGTATTTGATGAACAAACGAATAGGACTAAAAACTGAAGGAAAAAAAAAAAGGCTACCATCAAGCATTTTATAATTATAGATAAGAGATTTTAGTTTTAATGCCAAGGTAGGAGCAAAATGAGGGCCTAAGGTTCTTTTTATCTCTTAACACCTGGAAATAATTAAATGGAAGGCAATTGCCATCCTACTCATCTAAAAGTAAACATTCTTCATAACCTTTTCATTTTAAGAAAAAAAAAAAAAAAAACTCTTTGAGATAAACTCTCACATATATTAATAGTTGGACACGAGGTTAACATATATTAACACTTGGATATGAGTTTTTCAACTACCTCATATCACCTGTAAATAAACCCATATTGTTTATCTATTTTGTGTAATCATGATTTAGAATTATAGCTGCTACTGAATGCTAGTTAAATTGTTATGTTGTTATGTGCCGTCGAGTCAAACCCGACTCATAGCGACCCCTCCTTGGGTTTCCGAGGCAGTATCACCACGGAAGTAGGATTGCCCAACCTTCATTCCGAGGAGTGGCTGGTGGGTTTGAACCGCCAGCCGTCTGGTTAGCAGGCAAGTGTCTTTAGCCACTATGCTACCAGAGCTCCCATACATAGTTAAATTAGAACTATGTATTTCTGAACCCTGGCTAAAGAAGGTATAGTCTATGATTTACTGCAGTTTTGCTATACACATTATGCTTATAATAAAGATAAAATTATTTCAATTTAGTTTAGTACATATGGCTTTGATGAATGGGGAATAAGATTTACTCTACCGATAATGTTAATTGCCAATGTGCTGATGATAACAATAACAGTAAACATTTTTTTTCAAAAACTGTTTAAAATGTCCAAGGAACCTTCTAAAAGAAAATGTTAATTTTTTTTTTTAAACTGAAGATGTGGCTTACTGGTTCACTGGGAATACAAGTGATGCAGAGATGATCTGTTGTATTTAAATGTTCATCAATTCATGATTGTGATTTTATAGCTGGAGAAATGAAATAAGCCTAAAAATAAACTAGGTATTTCAGGCAGGGTTGGGGGGAAGAAAAAAAAGTAGAACCCTGATTTAAGATAAATAACTCTTAAAAGGATGAAGATTTTTATGGTAGAGTAGAAAATAAATGTGTGGAGACTATAATTTGTGAGTGTCTTAATATAGGTTGGGAACTCCCTGCCACCAAGGCCTTCAGGATGATAGAGCACTTGACAGTTCTTTAAAAACTGGGATCACAGAAATATAATGGGCAAAGTTTCAAGAATTAATCAAATTAAAAATACCTTAAGTTTTCTTTGATGAATGCCTTTGTCATCTTTTTGTAATACCATTTTTCTCAATTCTTTGTTCTCCTTTTCTAACCGTTCCAAGATTCTCTGGTACTTTAACTGTAACAAAATAATACATATAACTATTTATAAAAAAGACTGGTTAACAAATAACATTAATAAGTCTAGATTAAATCTTCCCCCAAATCCTAAAGTCACTTCTTTTGACTATTGAAAATGAAATATTATGTTTAAAAAATTTCTATGAAAAAGTTGAGAATAAAACAAAATTATGAATATCATCTCGTCATGCAAATAGTGAAATATATTATGGTTTTCTATCACAATCTGGCATTTTATTTGGAAAATTCTTTGATACTTACAGTGAAGAAATTAAATAACTTAAAAATGCTAAAAATTTAAAATTGTAAAGTGGGTTCTTAAGTATATTTCCTATTATATCAAATTTGTAAGTCTTCGCTAAACATTCAATAAAAATTCAAATTATCAACAATATTTTATGTTTTAATTAAAATGATATAAAATTAGCTAACAGTATTTAAGCATGCATTATATAGCAAGCCCTTTACTAAGGGTTTTACATGTATTAATTCAGCCCTTACAGAAATCCCATGAGGCAGGGGTTATACAGATTAGGAACCTGAGATTGGGGAAGCTTGGTAGCTTGCCCAAAGTCACCCACTAATAAGTAATGGAGGAGGTTATGAATACCCAGAGTACAGGGTTTACACTCTTCCAAGCTTTTTTAAGTTTCTATGACCAGAGATTATGATTTTCAAAATATCAATATAGCTTTTAAAAGATGAATATTCTTAGACAGGTTATTTTGTCAAAGCAGTTGTTTGGATATACATTTTCTTCTCAAAATACTTGAGCTTTGCTAATTGGTCTTCCTTTTTTATAGTATTACTCTTTAAATATCTATGCTCAAAACTATTAGAAATTACTTTTTTGTACAATCAGCAGAGAATATTTATGTCCAATTTATAACATCATGCCTATTATAATGGAAAGCAATATTTCTTATAAGATTCTATCATTAAACCCCACCACTCATTTGTTAACTTGTCATACTGGGGTAGCTTACGTGTGGTTGTGATGCTAGAAGCTATGCCACTGGTATTTCAAATACCAGCCAGGTCACCCATGTTTCAGAAGAGCTTCCAGAGTAAGAAAGATTAGGAAGAAGGAAGAGGCAGTTCATTTCGAAAAACTAGCCACTGAAATTGGGCAATCCTACTTCTGAAGTGACACTGCCTCGGAAACCCAAGGAGGGGTCGCTATGAGTCGGGGGCCGACTCGATGGCAAATAACAACAACAACAACAACAAGCCACTGAAAACCTTATGAATAGAAGTGAAACAGTGTCTGACATAGTGCCAGAAGATGAGTCCCTCAGATTAGAAGGTACTCAAAACACAACTGGGGAAGAGCTGTCTCCTCGAAGCAGAGATGACCTTAATGATGGGGACAGAGTAAAGCTTTTGGGACCTACATTTGCTGATATGGCAAGACTGAAAATGAGAAGAAATTTTATTAGAAAAAATAAACATTTATTAATAATTGAAACACGGAATGTAAAAAGTATGAATCCAGGAAAACTGCAAGTTGTCAAAAATGAAATGGAAGGCATAAAGATCAAAATCCTAGGCATTAGTGGGCTGAAATGGACTGGTATTGGCCATTCTGAATCAGACAATCATTTGGTCTACTATACTGAGAATGACAAATTGAAGAGGAATGGTGCCACATTCATCATCAAGAAGACTATTTCAAGATTTATCCTGAAGTACAGCACTGCCAGTGACAAGATAATATCCACATGCCTATATGGAAGACCAGTTACTTCTACTATTATTCAAATTTACACACCAATCACTAAAGTCAAAGATGATGAAATTGAAGATTTTTACCAACTTCTGAAGACTGAAATTGACCAACCATGTAATCAAGATGTATTGATAATTCCTGGTGATTAGAATGTGAAAGCCAGAAACAAAGAAGCAGCATCAGCAGTTGCAAAATATGGCTCTGGTGATAGAAATGACACCAGAGAACATATGACAGAATTTTACAAGACCAAAGACTCACTCATTCGTTGCAAATACCTTTCTTCAAAAACCTAAACAGTGACTGTACATGCTCGCCTCACCATACGGAATACACAGGAATCAAATCAACTACATCTGTGGAGACAATGGAGACGCTCAATATCACCAGTCAGAACAAGACAAGCGAACAGACAATCAACTGCATATGCAAGTTCAAGGTG